TGATTCGGACACAGTAACTCACACATCACAATATAATATAATAATAAAGAGTTAAAAAAAAAGAAGATAATAAATTCTAAAAAAAAAAAAAAGAGCAAGAGACAGGTGTCAGAAATACATATAAATGAAAAGGTACCAGTCAAAATAAAATAGAAAGATAAGTAATAAAATTTAAAATCTCAACTTTATACACTGGACCAAAATAGAAAAAAGTTAACTTGAAAACTACCACTACATGACATCACAAGGTGGAAGGGAACATTTTGAGTTTTGGAGATGTAGACAGAATAATAAATAAAGGATTACTCAAACATGTGAATGAAACAAAACACAACTGCAGGTCTGTTTGTGATGATATAACAAACAAAAATCTATTTAACCTGATAAGTCCAAACTAGTTGTATATTTGTATTTGTATTCGGCCTGTTTCTAGTACTTTTCCTCATGTAATCTTTGACTTTACCTGAGATCTTCCCCTTCCTCCTCTTCCTCCTCACAGGGACATGCACGACTCGCGTTCCCTCATTCCCCTCCTGCGGCCTGTATTTTGACTCTTTCTCTTTGTGTTTAGTGACAAATAAAAGTGTGTTTACTCTGACAACAGAGCCTGACCCCCGTCACCTTCACGCAGCGCAGAAACACTCACGTCAACTGACCCTGAGACACCAGGGTGACCGGGGACTCGGAGGGAGGACCGTTCACACCAGCGAGAGGCGTCGAGAGGCGTCGAGAGGTGTCGGGGGTCGGGGGTCAGGGGTCACAGGGGCAGAGCACAAGTGATACTTCGCAGTGACATCAACAGTGACACAAAGTACACACTAGCACTTTTACAGTCTGAAAACTAGAGAGGGACTTGTTTAACAGCACAGATGAGCTCACCTGTTGTAGTTCACATAAGTCACTTCTTTCTGGTCAAATTGTGTTCAAATAAAACTAAACATCAGCAGGAAATTGCAGTAAAGAGAACATTTGAGGACAGGACTATTATCGCTCACATTCAGACCTTTCTAAAAATATATGAGTTTCATTTCTGCTTTTCAATGATAGTTTGGAGTGTGTTTGCAAAGCTGGTAGTTACAGTTACTAGAGTCAATTTCACATACAACTGTAGCCTATAGTTATTAGAGGAGCTTTCAGGTCACATACTTTTATTCTTACTTGAGTATTATAATGTACAGTGTAGTGTTGTCACAAAACAAACATTTCAAACTCAATACTCAGTGTTGATTCTGACAGCACGGTGATCATTTAAACATCTCTCTTTCTTCAGACAATAGAATGTGATCAAAGTAAATGTAGTAGTTGCTTTTCTATTTCCATGTGTGTTATACACAGTGTTGGAGAGTAACAGATTACATGTACCGGAGTTACGTAATCAGAGTACAAATTATGAGTAACTGTATTCAGTTACAGTTACTGTTTCAATGAGTGGTAATTGGATTACAGTTACTTTGTTGAAATAAATGGATTACACGGTGGCATTTTCCTGTTTTCACATTCTGGGCTATATCCTCCCTTTTTTTTTTTTTTCTTTTTTTTTTTCGGTAATTCCACTCATTGCTAGAAAATAAACTAGGTCTAAACTAGATTTAAACCAGGTCTAAACCAGGACTAAACCACAACTAAAACCAGGTCTAAACCAGGTCTAAAACCAGGTCTAAACCAGGACTAAACCAGAACTAAAACCAGGTCTAAACCAGGTCTAAAACCTGGTCTAAAACCAGGTCTAAACCAGGACTAAACCAGAATTAAAACCAGATCTAAACCAGGTGTAAAACCTGGTCTAAAACCTGGTCTAAAACCTGGTCTAAAACCTGGTCTAAAACCTGGTCTAAAACAGGACTAAACCAGGACTAAACCAGGACTAAACCAGGACTAAAACCAGGACTAAACCAGGACTAAAACCAGGACTAAACTAGATCTAAACCAGGACTAAAACAGGATTTAACAGGATTAAATCATGCTGTGTGGACATGTCTCCTCCTCTTCTATCAATAATATTTTTAATACAGTAAAGTCTGGACTTTTTATTGTCTTTTAGCTCGTCTTTGCTTCTCTACAGTAAATCAACTAATCCAAAGTATTCAGATTATGTTACTCACTTTAAGTAATTTAATGGATTATGTTACTAACTACATTTTGTTGTATGTAATCTGTAATCTGTAGGGGAATACGTTTTAAAAGTCACCTTCCCAACACTGGTTCTATGTGTGTGATGGTCAGTGGTGCAGTAGGTTCATGTTGGTCCATGTGTGTGTACTGGTCTATGTGCTCTTACACTTCTGTTCTGATACAGATCAACATTATTTTAAACAGGCGTCTAAAACCTGTAGTTCAGGAGCTACCAGGAGCTCTCCACCCTCTTTCAAGTCACTCACCAAGTGATTCCTGTATTACACATATTGTCCTGAATAACACAAATGTGATCATTAAATACCTATTATTATTATTATTATTATTATTATTATTATTATTATTATTATTATTATTATTATTATTATTATTATTATTATTATTATTATTATAAATCTATCATTTTGATGCTGGACTTTGTGCACTCATAAATAAATAATGGTTTATGTTTTATGTTTTATCTAACTGTACCACATCTAAGTTTTGCCATGGCTTTTATATATACTTCATTTTCTGCAACCACTAAAATGTGTAGCTCTCTGGATTTGCCTTTGGTTAAGGTAGAGACCCCTGTTCTACATTCAGGAAAGGTTCTGCTCAGTCCTGTCAATGGGACTTTTTGTAGTATTTATATGTACCTGCTCAAATGAGTTTCTAGTTTCAATACTAGTATTGTGTATACAGTACTCTTGTTGTAAATATAAATTATACTTTTACACAAATCAAGAAGCAATTTGTGAAGAAAAGTCGAACACATGTTGAAAATGACACAAGGTAAACTCCTATTTTAGAGACACTTTGGCACAATTTACACAAAAAAACACATTTTTCTGATACTTTAAACATGAAGTCAACAAAATAAAAGTGTTTTCTTATATTTTTAGATAAACTGTCACATAAACCCGTGTGTACATGAGAGGAGTGTAGACACAGTGTTTAACCTGGTAGTTTAGGGAACAGTTATGAAATTTCCTTTTTCACGTCGAGAGTAACAGTACTCTTACTTGAGTAATATACAGTACAGTGTAACAGTACTCGTACGGTACTTGTACTTGAGTAAAAGTTGTTCTTCCTCTTCCTCTGTGAATGAGTTTAAAGTGACTAAATCTTTCTGTGAGAATCTGAAATGATTTGAACATTTGTGTTTCTTGCAGCTTCTTCACATCTGATTCAGGTTTTCATGAATGTTTCAGTTACAAAAGTTGGACAGAAAATATTCATGACTTTAGTTTGCACAGATCTGAATGGTGTTTCTTTATTTCTACTGGAGTAATATTTTAAGGCCCATATTAGATGATTTTCTCACATATTTAACACTCAAACCTGCATTTAGGCTGAGTTCTTCTCTCAAACACCTTCACTAGAATCATTTGGATCATTTTAGCCCTGGAATTGGTAAAAGGAGGTGTTTACTTGAAAACAACTTAGTAACATCACAAAGTGGAACAGAGTATTGGGAATGTAAACAGAGTGATAATAAAGTTACTCAAACATGTGTGAATGAAACAAAACACAACTCCAGCTCTGTGTTTTAGGATAAAACAACATTATAACACGGCTTAAGGCTCACAGGAGTTAGTATCATCTGGGCTATTGAACTAGCACCTCTCCTGGACAAATGAGATATTATACCGACAAATACAGTGTGGGAGGTGACAAAGTACTAATTATAAGTAATGAATAACTTTTAGGTATTTTACTTAGGTCTGAATACATTTACAGTGGGTACTTTTTTAACTTTGTACTCTACTGTGTAACTGTGCGGAAAAATATTTTGTTGATCTTTTTCTTAAACCTGTTGAAGCGTGAAGCCATGAGGCCATGAGGTTTTGAGTTCAAGTCTGGACACTGAGCAAACAAAAGTGAAAACACACAAATGAAAACAAACACCAAGACATGGATTTGAAGTGCACATGCTGGGCAAAGATCAGCACTTTATCAAGATCATTTATGATACTTTGACTCTGTAATAGAGTCATCTGATCTGTGTGGATACTTTTACTCCAAGTGCATCTTTAAAGTGCACGTGCAGGTTTGGATGATCTTCTCATTTCTGCTGAAGTTACATTAAAGTTTTACACAAATCAAGAAGAAATTTGTGAAGAAAAGTTGAAAACATGTTGAAAATGACTGGAAGTAGAGTTCTGTTTTATAGAGTCCCACAGTGATGACATCACACTGGGAGAATTCTGTCCAAAAGTTCACCACAATTTACACACGCACACACACACGCACACACACACACACACGCACACACACACACACACACACACACGCACAACGCACGCACACACACACGCACACGCACGCACGCACGCACACACACACACACACACACACACACACACACAAACGCACGCACACACACACACACATACACACAAATATTTTTTTTCTGATACATTAAACATGGATTTAATGAAATAAAGGTGTTTTCTTATATGTTCACATAAACTGTCACATAAACCCGTGTACATTAGAGTGTAGACCCAGTGCATAACACGACAGGTTTGGTAACAATTATGCAATTCCCTATTGTGATGTCACCATTTCCAACCAGGAAGTCGCTTTTAAAACCTAAAACAGACAGATTAAGAAAAAACAACAACTTAAATATAATGATCTTAACTGTGTTTTAGTAAAATGAAAGGTCATATGGACTTTACAGGAGCATGTGTCTTCTCGGGCTGCACACTGGAGCATTGTGAGACAGGACACATGTCTGTTCGAAGTGTCACAGAGAGAGATTACTGCCAGACCACTGTCACAACCATTTCATTTATAATAAAACAAACAAATGATATGGTTCCATTCACATGTGAAAATACAAACTGAACAGAGACAAAAGAAGGACTAAATCTTGGGTCATGTTGTAAAACAATGAATAAAATGAACTTTATTTCATTTTTGATGAAACTTTTGAAACTCTTAGTTAAGTTACAAAACAGAGTCCAGGACAGACGTTCTGCTATAATCCAGCTCCTCACGTCTGTTTGCACCATCTAGTGGCGATCAGACATTACTACAACTTCCCTTGGATTAAAACAGCACTTTTATTCCACATGTTTCTGCTAATCTACAAACACGCTCCAGTCCTGTACACTTTTATTTCAGAGACAAATGAAACAGAAACAGAGAAAGAAAGAAGAATCAAAGAAAAGCTGTAAACTTCACATTTCTAAGACTTTAAACACATTTGTGCTTCAATGCAGTCATCATGTTTCCTACAGATACTGATGACTTCATCATTCTACAAAAGCAGCAGTATTATACAAGAATATAATATAAAACATCATCAAATGTACAAATCCACCTCTTAAAGGACTCATTTTACACTATTTTCTGATCTGTGTTCTAATGTTGTTTCCTCATCACAAACACCCCTGGAGTTGTGTTTTGTTTCATTCACAAGTTCTTCGCTCAAACAGAAAACACTCTGTTCCACCTTGTGATGTCATGTGGTAATACAGGAAGTGCTCCACTGTGTTTTTAAACTCCACACCTTCAATAGAATCAGTTGGATTACTTCAGCCCTGGAATCTCTACTGAACAAAAGGTAAAAGGCAGCCTCATGACATCACAAGGTGGAACAGAACATTCTGAGCTTTGGAGACGTAGACAGACTAATAATAAAGTGTTACTCAAACGTGTGAAGGAAACAAAACACTACTCAGGTAGGTACGCAGGTCTGTTTTTGAGGAGGGAACAACATTATAACCTGACTCAAAGCTCACAAGAGTCAAATTTTGTGTAATATAGAATCTTTAAGCTCAAATGTCAGAATACTCCACAATTATTTGATCACAGTTGCAAAAAATTCAGTAAAAATACAAAATTAAAGTTAAAATATGTTGTAAAATTGTGTTAGTGCAATCCACTCCCAAAATGATCATATGATTTGTTGTCTGCAGATAAAATGTCCTGATTAAAACCTGATTGGTTCATACTTCTTGATGGGAGTTATAGCAGCAGGAGTATTATAGTATTAGTATTTAGTAGTACCAGTAAGAGCAGTAGCAGCAGTAGTAGTAGAGGTAATCGTAGTAGTACTGTCAGTCCTCATAGCTTTTGCACGATGGGCTCGGTGAAGTGTTCTCCTCTGTATAAACCCCAGTGCAGCGTCTGGTCACATGCTGCGGCCCAGGCCATCTGATTGGACGAGAAGCGAGCGGACCACTCTCCCTTGGTATCCACGGTGACGACCCCTCCCAGACCCACCACCCGGCTCTTCATGTGAGACAGGCCCAGGTCGCTCGCCTCCTCCACAGACCTGCCTGGAACACCACAAATGAGTCAGATACCCTAACAATATCCAATATCCCTGTGTGTCAGATTGTGTCAGATGCCCTCCCTATGTCTCAGATTGTGTCAGATGCCCTCCCAATATCCATTATCTCTGTGTGTCAGATGCACTCCCTGTGTGTCAGATTGTGTCAGATGCCCTCCCTGATTGTGTCAGTGTGTTAGATGCCCTCCCTGTGTGTCAGATTGTGTCAGATGCCCTCCCTGTACCTTGTTCCATGTGGTAGAGGATGTGTCTGGCCAGGACCACCTTCAGGATGGCCTCTCCGTGTCCTGTGGTGGAGACGGCTCCCACCGAGTTATCAGCGTATCCTCCACTTCCTGTACAACATACAACATACAGAAGAATACTTTTACTGCAGATACTGTACATGAGAATACTACTACAGTACATTCAAGTGTCAAATATATGTGCGTATCCCCTACTGCCTGACAGATCATACAAACAGAATCTTTTCAAAGGGCCCATACTATATTCATTTAATGTAGTTTCCTCATCACAAACAGCCCTGGAGTGTTTTGTTTCATTCACACATGTTTAACACACAAACCTGCACATTTAGACTGTGTTCTTTTCTCAAACAGAAAACAGCTGGTCTCACTTTTAATGCAGGAAGTGCTCTGTTGTGCTTTTTTATACAATACATCTTCACTATGGTAAATGGTCACATTTTAATGCAGCTCTTTTCCACCTTCAAGGCACTCAAAGCTCTTTATTACAAGGAACCACTCACACATTCGCACACAGTCATACACCAGAGTACACACACACTGTGGGTGAGTGGATCTGACCACTCAACCAATGTTTATGTCAAGAGCAGGATTCAAACCGGCAACATTTGGAGGACAAACGCTCTACTAATTGAGCTACTGTTGCCCTACTAGAATTTCCAGTCTCTACTGAACTAAAGGTAAACTACTGCTTCATGACATCACAAGGTGGAACAGAGTAGTCATCAGTATTGGATGGGGACATACTGAACATTTGGAGTTAAGCAACAAATCTGTCAGCTGTTGTTTGGACATCCACAATTATTGAAAAGCACAATGTTCAAAAGTCACTGTGCAGTCACTCAATATACTGAGGGTGTAATTACATCTTTGCTCCGCTAGAGGGCAGACTAATGCTTGTGACAAAACAAGTAAACTAATGATGAGAATAAATACTGAAGTAAAGGGAAATTAGTTCATAAATCTGGTGTTTTCAAAGGACAGACACAAAAATGGGACAAACTAATTTGGATCTGAAGGAGCTGCAAGAAACACAAATGTTCAAATAATTTCGTACTGTCACATAAAGTCACTTTAGACTCACTCACAGCGACCACAACTACAGGGTCAGCAGCTTTTACACAGAATAAAAGACATGGAGACACAGGGAGGGCATCTGACACACAGGGACAACTGATTTCAACTAACTTCAGACTTTGTGACTATTACAGACTGATTTTGGCCAAGAACATCTCATAATAATTAAACTTGTATTCACACAAAGCTGTTCAGTCGTGATTTTTAATAAATAACAGTTACATAACACAACTGGATCTCTTGTGTAAGAAGTGAACTGTGTTTGAAGGAAATAAGCACCATTTTAAAATATTGAGTATCAGCAGATCCTTAAAAAAATCTAAAAAATTATTCCTGAATGTGAAAATATACAAACTTTTCTGGTGGAGGGTCCGTCAAATGATTTTCTTAATGAAGATGTTATTACTGTGTCTATCATCATGGAGACCAAACCAGACCAAGTTCCAGGTTAGATCTGTGGAGAGGCGACCCCACTCTCATTCAGAACGTCTGTTTTTCTAGGTATTTTTGAGCTATGAAACCACCTGTAGTTGAATAAATGTAAAGCAGAGCTGTTTAATTTCACACTGTGGAACATTCCAGGCAAAGCAGTGACATCTCCATAGAAACAAGAAGGTGACAAATACCCAACCAAAAAGTTTAAGATTAACAAACCAGAAACACAAACTCCCACCATGTTCTTACTAAAGCAGAGTGTTTTCTTAAAGACAAACTTGTGATGTTTAGAGTCCAGTCCAAAGTCAACCATTAACTCCACAAACCTGACTCGGACCAAAGGACAAATCGACTCCAACAATAATCAATAAAACAATAGGATTACATCACAGCAGATTTCTGATGAGCACAAATTCCACTGAAACTGCAACACAAGCTTCAAGAAGAGCTATTTTCCTTCTATGGGGTATTAACTGCTAACACATATTCACATCATCATGTTCCCTTTTATTGTTTTGAAAATGCATTCACTGGAAGCAAAGTGTTCACATGCTCTCCCCTCCCTTTGCTCTCTAAGTCACACTAAGTCACTCCCCCTTCAGGGCGCTATCAGACACAATCAGCGTGCATCCCACTAACGAAACTACCTCACATGACTTGTTGCGTATAGTTCAGAATCATGTGTTTGTGTATTTATGGTGAATAGGCTCTATCCACCCTTATATCACAAACCAGGAAGACGTTTGGAAACATGTGATGAAAACTTCCGGTGTAGTTCCCGACACTGGACTCACCAACTGACTGTGATCAAACCCACTGAAGTAAATGTGATCAGAGGTAAAATGAAGACTGCAGACGTATGTGCTGTTTGGAATCATCTGGAATTTGTCCCTCATCTCTTCTAATCACATGTACCAGTGCACTCAGAGTTGTGTGTCAGTGGGGAAATGATGAAAACTGAGGTATGGTTGGAACGGTTGATGAGCCGAACATAACGGAACACTACAATGACATGGAGAAAAAGAAAACTGGGACATTTTCAAATTTTTCCTATCTTTTGTCAAACGTACTCCTGCAAACAGAGCCCAAAGGAAGTTGTCATAGTGTTTCCAAACGTCTTCCTGGTTTGTGACAGAAGCCTATTGTGGTGTGGAAGCATGGGTGATGGAGGCTTGTGGGTGGAGCCTTGTACGGGGTTGAATAGGACCTGGGAGAGATCACTAAAATACTTAGACATTCATGAATGACATCTAAGATTTGTGATTTAGAGTTCAAACTGAAAAAATAAACTAGAGTAAAAGTGAGATTGCTCCTCTCTTCAGTGTGTTAGTAAAGATGTTATGTACACAGATGTAACATAATGTAGGTGTAGAGGAGTTAAAGGCACTGGAGCTTATTTTTTCTTATTAAAAGTGAAAAACAGAACAGAACTAGTTGATTTGAAACAGTTTGCTGTGGTCCAAAGGTATTTCTCATTTACCTTATGCTTGACAGCTACAGAAAAAGTAAATTCTGATAACTGGAAATGTTGGGTCCTACTTGGACGACTGAGGGATTAAGCTGACATCTAAGAGCTGCTTATATAGTATACTAGTACACTGTATATACTGGGCAAGACTTTGCTCAAACACATGGAAGAACATTGGGTAGAGGTCCTGTAAAAGTAAAGCTGCAGAGTTACGGACCGATACAAGGCGTGTCTCCCACTCGACCCTCCATCTTGTTCAGGATTCCTCCAGTGGAAGTGGCACAGGCAACGTTTCCCTCGGAGTCCACGGCCACTGCTCCAACTGTGCCCATTTTACCCCTGAAAACAGAACAGAGGAGAGAAGAGGGTCAGAGGAGCAAAGGGGAGGGTCAGAGGAGCAGAGGGTCAGAGGAGAGTGTCAGAGGGTCACGGGAGAGGGTCAGAGGGTCAGAGGAGAGTGTCAGAGGAGAGGGTGAGAGGTCAGAGGAGAGGTCAGAGGAGTCAGAGGTCAGAGGGTCAGAGGAGAGTGTCAGAGGGTCAGAGGAGAGGGTCAGAGGGTCAGAGGAGAGGAGAGGGTCAGAGGAGAGTGTCAGAGGGTCAGAGGAGAGGGTCAGAGGGTCAGAGGGTCAGAGGGTCAGAGGAGAGGGTCAGAGGGTCAGAGGAGAGGAGAGGGTCAGAGGGTCAGAGGAGAGTGTCAGAGGGTCAGAGGAGAGTGTCAGAGGGTCAGAGGAGAGGGTCAGAGGGTCAGAGGAGAGGGTCAGAGGTCAGAGGAGAGGTCAGAGGGTCAGAGGAGAGGGTCAGAGGGTCAGAGGAGAGAGTCAGAGGGTCAGAGGGAGAGAGGTCAGAGGGTCAGAGGAGAGGGTCAGAGGGTCAGAGGAGAGGGTCAGAGGGTCAGAGGAGAGAGTCAGAGGGTCAGAGGAGAGGGTCAGAGGGTCAGAGGAGAGAGTCAGAGGGTCAGAGGAGAGGGTCAGAGGGTCAGAGGAGAGTGTCAGAGGAGCACAGCAGAGGGTCAGATGGGGTAGAGGACGGTGCAGAGGAGGAGGTACATTTGGCACTCCACCGGGTTGGCTCCTGGCGCCTGGTTCTTCCTCCACCGGGCACGGCTGTACTCTGTGATCAGGGACTCGGTGGGCACTTCCTGTACGCCCATCTGCCGCGCAAATGCAGCAGCGCCCCCTGCTGTCAGACACACATGGCTCGTCTGGAGAGAGGAGGGACACAGGACACCATTTTACTCTCTGTTTTCTGCTTACACTTAGGACCTTTTGAGTCGTCAGGACTGTGTGACAAACATGCACTTGTTACATTATTCTCTAATGTCGTTACCTCATCACAGACAGACCTGGAGTTGTGTTTTGTTTCATTCACACATTTTTAACACACAAACCTGCATATTTATACTGAGTTCTTCTCACAAACCAACAGTCTGTTCCACCTTGTGATGTCATGTGGTAATACAAAAAATGATCCACTGTGTTTTTAAACTCCACACACCTTCACTAGAATCATGATTGTGAATGACTAAAATGATTATTTCAATCCTCTACTGAACTGAGGGTAAAAAGAGCTGTTAACAACATTAGTGACAATATTATAACATGTCTAAAATCTCACAGGAGTCAGTTTGACAGAATACAGGACATTTAAAGGAGTTGTACCACATTTTTTCATATAATTAAAAAACAAAGTGCACAGTCCGTAGAAGATGTGCCAGACTGTTGTGTGCTACTGTTTTGTTGAAGTTGGTGATATCAGGTGAAAGGAGCAGGAAGCAGGAAGTAACAACAAAATAATGTTATGGATTTGATTAAAACAGCACAAATGAAAATATGGCCGATCGTGGAGGGGTTTGTACTGTGATTGTGGAGGGGTTTGTACTGTGCTTTCACAGTGAGTACCTCTTTATAAACAACATTATTCAGAAATGTATGCTTTTTCTTAGTTTCTTCATCTAGCGCAAGAATTTGAAGTCTATTTGATCTACCAACTCTGCTGGTAGCAACATAGAACTGGCCACGGCTGAAGAAATCTCTTGAACAGAAAACCCCTACCTGCTGGTTTTCTGCTGATATCTTTGGCATTTTTTGCCCTAACAACATGAAACTTGGCACCGCACACACCCGCACCATTAGGATGACACTCTCCAAATTTGAGATCAGTGGTGGTGTGGTTCGAGAGTTATGTGTGGAACAGGCAAACACACAGACAGACCTTCCTCACATTATAGATACAAGTCTTGATTGAGGAGCAAATATCCCACATGTGAATGGACCATTATATTTACCACAAAAATCCAAATATGACTTTAATTATTGATAATTTGCAGATGTCATCAACATTCTATGGGGCTGTGAAGATACCTGAAGGCACTGCTCTGTCTGAAGCTCTGTTACTCAAGTTAGACTTAATCTGATCTTTATTTAACATAAACTGACCACAAAGAAGTGATTTAGTTGGAACCACAACAAGTGACCTGATTAGTGCTTTAAATGAACCTCTCTTTGTGCGTTTTCAGACAATCTTATTAATTAATTAATTAATTAATTTTTTTTTTTTTACATTTTTTGCTTATGCTTGCATTGGGTCACCATGGCTGAACATTCTGTCCATGGAGATACTTGTAAAACACCCCCAACGTGGTATCACTAGGTGACTAATTCTGCTTTTTAAATTTTGCTCATTGAGATTCAGGTCCAAAACAACATCTATGTTTCCATTATTCCTCCTGCCTCTACCAGGGACCTTGTAGCTGTGAGGCTGAACTGCTAAACTCTCCAGGTCCATGTGCTTGAGTAGAGTCTGTACCTTCTCCATGACCAGGCGTGCCAGCTTCACAGGGTTAGCGATGTTTGAGACTGCAGACACTGCTCCAGACGACAGGTCCCTTCCGTCCATCACCAACGCGTCCATCTCCACCTGCCCCCCAGCTGTGAGCACCGAACCCCGACCTGAAAACAACCAGAGGAGGGGGAGTCAGCCACACCTGACCCCACCTGACCCAGCCCAACCACACCTGCCCCCACCTGCCCCCAGCTGTGAGCACTGAATCCCGGTCTGACAACAACGGGAGGAGAGGGAGTCAACAAGGACCTCAAGTTTTCATCTTAGCAGCTCCTTTTAATCTTTTGTTGAGTGATTGTCAATTCCAGGACCGAAATCATCCAGATTTAGGAGTTTAAAAACACAGTGGAGCACTTTCTGAATTACCGCATGACATCGCAAGATGGAACAAAGTGTTTGTCGTATTGTTGTAAACACAAAACACTTAGATCAGTTTCATTTGATGTGTCTCTGCACTCACCTTAAGCTCAGGTGTGTAACAATGAAATGTGCTGATAACACAAACACCACACAAACACAGGAGAATCCTCAAGAGGAGTTTGAATGAAAAAAAACTGACAGCATCTTCTCTGTCAGGAGAAATGAACTAAAATCAAAAGATTTTTCACAGTGGCTTCAGAAAGTGCTGCCATTATTCAACCTCGTGATTGTGATAAAGGCCATCATGTTTTTTAAACATTATTCCCTCATCAGAAACATGCCTGCAGGTTTTAGATGTCATCCATGCATGTTTGAGTAATTTAGCGATCTCTCCCAGGTCCTACACTACACTACAACTTGACAAACCTGTTGTGATTGAGCTATGAAGGAGGAGTGACTTAATAACAAAAGACAGAAGTCACATATGCCCTCGATTAATTCTCATCTCATGTGTTGTGTCTCTCACCGGCGTTGAAGTGTGGGTTGTCCTCCATGTTGATGACCGCCTCCACCACAGCGTCCACACTGCTGCCCCCTGCTGTAAAGACGTGGTAACCCGCCTTCACCGCAGCACAGACTCCGCCCATCGAGCCCTGAGCTCGCTCAGACGGGATGTGCCCCGCGCCCCCATGGACCACCAGGACGGGACGCATCACCTGTCAATCACATGTACACCTGTCAGTCATATACACCTGTCTACGGTTGTCAAAACTATCAAATCAGATGCTAAACCATATGAGGACACATGAAAAGAAAGTTCTACCATTTCATGAAGGTCACATTCTATTCCTTAGTATCAAAAGGAATATCGAGTTTGAAGTTAGTTTGAAATGTTTGTATCATAACAACACTACACCTGTCAGTCATACACCTGTCAATCACATGCATCACTCCAAATGAGCTACACTTATTACATCACCAGGACGTCAGAATAAAGATGCATTATGGACCTTTTCCTACTACTACTACTTACTACTACTATTACTACTACTACTACAGCTAATAATACTGCTAAAACTGCAACAACTACCTCTACTACTATGAATACTACTATTACTACTACAGGTAATACTACTGTTGAAACTGCAACTACTACAACTACTACTACTACTACAGCTAATATTACTGCTAAAACTGCAACAACAACAACAACAACAACTACTACTACTAATACTACTACTACTACTACTGGTACTACTACTATTACTACTACTATAACAGCTAATACTGCTGCTAAAACCGCAACTACTACGACTACTGCTACTATGACTACTACCACTACTAGTACGGCTGCTACAACTGCTGCTAATACTATTACTACAGGTGATACTACTGTTAAAACTGCAACAACTACTTCTACTACTATGAATACTACAATTACTACTACAGGTAATACTACTGTTGAAACTGCAATGACTACTACTACTACTACTACTACTACTACTACTACTGTTACTAGTACTACTACTACAACTACAACTACTACTGCTGCTACAACTACTACTACTACTACTACTACTACTGTACTACTGTTTATACTACTACTACTACAGCTAATACTGCTGCTAAAACCACAACTACTGCTACTATGACTACTACCACTACTAGTACTGCTGTTACAACTGCTGCTAATACTATTACTACAGGTAATACTACTGTTAAAACTGCAACTATTATTTCTACTACTACTACTACTACTACTACTACTACTACTACTACTACTACTACAACTACTACTACTACTACTACTACTACTACTACTACTACTACTACTACTATTGCTGCTGCTGCTGCTAAAACAACTCGCTCCTGGAAGATCTCATGTCCTCCAATGTTAAGAGTATTTCATGGTTTACATTACATTACATGGTTTCATGGTTTACATTTACAGCACAATCAGACAAGCTACACAATCATTATTACACATTTTACACTGTGCGGTGGCTGAGCTGCCTGTACTTTGAAAATGAGACGAGATATGAAAAATGAACTTATTATGATGTTCTAATCCTGGGGTGGGAAGTTATTTTTTTCCATGGGGCCACATGAGAAACAGAAAATATTGTGGAGGCCAAAATGCTTCATTCAATTCTGCACAATATGAATTGTATTTCTTTATAAAACTCAGTAAATAGCATTGTTTTGATGAGCTGGTAGTGCCCAGGTCTGTTCTAACCTGACGTAACCCTCACATCCTTCACTCGAGTATTAGACTGGGACACACAGACTGGTGCCACAGTGAAGAGGCGCGGCTTTAGAAACAGAAAGTCAACCAACCTGTTTGTGTTTTAAACCGTTTCAGATCAACAATGCGATTTACAAACGAAAAAAACGTACAACTATTACAAATGCAGGCCTGTTTACTTGGAAAAGCACGATGTGTCTTTATTACGCCTGTATTACACAGACACACCTGTAGCCCACTGCACACAGCGCTGCACTGGGCCTATTTCAGTCATAACACCAACAATAACAGCGATTAAAAATTAAAATGCAAATCATTTATTGAGCCACACGAGTCCGAGTCTACCCAAATGCGTAAAGATGTCACGCACGTGTAGAGTTTTCTTGCAGGATCACGCGCTCTCCGCAGGAATGACCTACTTCTGGAGCAAACGGAGCAGTCCCGGTAAACAGAGGACCACTGACCGCTAAACAGAGCACGTCCTCGGTAAACGGAGGTGCAGTCCCCGATAAACAGAGGGCCAGTGACCGGTAAACGGAAGAGCAGTCCCCGGTAAACAAAGCAGTCCCCGGTAAATAAACGACCGGCTGCGTGAAAACAACGCGGTTAAAACGTGGAGACGTGGACAAACCGTAAAATGATCAAATCGTGCGCAGTCTGGAGGTTATAGTCCGGTTAGGAGGAATAAACTCTGAAAAATACTGAGGTTGCGAAAACATAGAAATACGACAAGTTTCCGTCAATAAAAGACACTTCTGACACAAACCGGAAACTACAAAATAAAACCAAAATAAAAGCCCGATTTAAGTTGGAGTTAAAGTGAAGTGTTTAGAGCCGGAGCTGCCCGTGGTGCTGAAGTGACCGTGTGAGCACAGAAAGTACAGATAAATGAACATTGCTAACCCGTATTAAATATTTGTATTAAAACACTCTACATGATCCTGGTGTCTTTACGACACTATTTTTGTCTGTTAATAAATTCTTGTTTCTAATATGGAACTCAGCTCCAAATTCCTCTCCATAACTGCCGGCCTCGTGAGCTTCATTTGACTGGAGCTAGACTCTGTGGGTGACGTCACACTATCTTAGTCCACTCCTTTATATAGTCTATGGGAGTTACCCGTGTGGTCGTTGTAAAACACATGTAACAGGTTTTGATGCTTCTGTAATTTGGACTGTATTTGCTGTTATAATAAAACACCTAAAGCTACGTTAGTTTTGCCTTCAGTACTTGATGACATCACACAGCACTGCCCCAGTGTTTCTGATACAAACACCTGGCTGCAGGGGCGGAGTTTGAAGAGTAGACGCCTGTTAGACCACCACACTGATTTTGGTCACAAAGTTCTGCTTTTATGATATGAACACATTTGACTCATTTATGACTAAAAGGTATTTCAGCTTGAACAAAACTCAAAACAACAGGAATCAGACGAGCGCCTCGGTTTGGTTTTGGCACCGGAGCTGTCCCTGGTGCTGAAAGAGAGCAGTGTTGGGGAAGTTACCTTAAAAAAGTAATGTTTTCATCGTTTTTAATGTTACTCGTTACTTTTTGTTGGTAAACTCCATTTAAGGCTAAATACTGCACGAGATCGAGAGTCGATAAGAACCTTAAGGAAGGTAGAAAAGAACTTTGCAGAGAGAGTTCAAAAGGACCTGAAAGTGTTCAGAGGTGCACGGGTGAGGTGAGTCTGTCCGGGGGAGGGACGGCCGCTCGGGGCGGGAGTATCCCCTCGCGGGACTTCTCCCCAGGTGTCGCCCCTCCCCATTTCCTCTGAGGAAGGCACAGGATCTCTCCGCTCCCCGGGGCCGTGCATACCCGCTGCGCCCTCTCCGCCCGGGCGGGGACGGGCCCCACTGCTCTCACTTGTCTTCCCCAACTGTCCCTCCCCAAAAAAGTCCCGCTGCGGGCCGAAAAGATTTTCAGTAATAGCGCATTACACAGTTTTTATCCCCAAAAAGTAGTTACGTCACTCTAACGCGTTAGAGTACAGAGTACTCTTTGTAACTTTGTAACTTTGTAACGCGTTACACCCAACACTGAAAGGAAGAAACGCTAAATGTGCTTTTTTGGCTTTATTTGTTGTGAACATTTTGCAACATCAAAATAGATTTCAAACTATGTAGTGAAGATCTGTGACTTCTGCAGTGAACCCGCTGGACTCCAAAGACTTCTAACGCTGTAAATCAAGGTTCTAAAAGCCTCATCACAAACACACCTTTTTTATTTTATTTTGTTGAACACACAAACTTGCAGATTTTCTGCAGCTTTTCTTTAAAAGAAAACACTCTTTTCCACCTTGTGATGTCATGTGGTAATACAGGAAGTGTTCCACTGTGTGTGTCACACACCTTCACCAGAATCATTTGGATGATTTCAGATCTGAAATTGCCCTGTTAACTTGAAAACTACCACTTCATGACATCACAAGGTGGAACAGAGCATTTTGAGCCTTGGAGATGTGTAAAGTGTTACTCAAACATGTGTGCTGTTTAAGCTCACAAGAGTGAGTTTTGCGTATCCAGGACCTTTAAATAACCTCACTCAGGTGTTGGATTATTTAATAAGATAAATTCTGCAAAACTGTCACCAAGAAAAAAAATAAATAAAAAATCACATTTGAATTCAAACCAGAGCTAAGAGTAAAAACGTGTTGTAATGAAGCTCATTAGGCTCCAGAGAGACGAGTCACATTCATAAATCCGGTTCCGTGGAGTTTTATAAGAAGCGTCCCCAGTGCGTGCCGTAGCGTGTCGTGAGCGCGCTCCTCATTCTGAAATGCGCGCCCCCGCCGCAGGAAGCACCGTGCGCGCGCTCGGAGGGGCTGCGGTCCCATTGACGGTCCGTCTCCTGGCAGCACCACCAACCACCATCTTCACCAGAGCCGACCCAACCCGAGCTCCATCCGCGGGGGAAGCCAGGCGCCGCGTCCGACCCAAAGAGCTCCTTCTCCGGTCTCCAAAACCTGGGACTTACCGCTGCTGACGGACCCCCACCCTCCACATCCACACAGCCGTACACCGCCCACCTCTCTGCCAAGGAACACCGGGGCAGGAGCGCAGGAGACCGGCTACATCTCCACAGCTGGGCCGCTTCAGCAGTGCGTTATCGCCGCGGAAAAAGGCGATATGGACTATCCGTGAAAAGAGCCGAGGTGGAGGGGAGGGGGGTGGGGGGGTGCCATTCGAGCCAAACCGAGCCCAACCGAGCTAATTCCAGCCGATCCGAGCCGATGGAGCGGGAGATGCTGCTTTTTTCGCACCGCGCTGACAATGATCCAAATGCGTAATATGGAAGAAGCGAGCGTTCCGTGAAGAGAAGGCGTTTTTACCGCTCACCGCGCGCGTACATCTCTGCCGCTTCTGCCGCTTCTGCCGCCTCTTCCACCGCCATGGGACCCCCGCATCTGCCGCGTACGCCGCTCTGCCGCCATCCCTGGGCCATGTCGTGATCCGTGGGCTGGCTTGGCTGTGGCGGTTTGCGAAGAGACAGGAGGAGCGGAGGAGGAGGTGGCGAAGGAGCGAGCGCGTACAGGCCGAGTGTGAGGCGCTTGTTTCGGGGGGAAGATGTTCGCGTCCGTGGGGCCCAGAGGCGGTCCTCGCCCAGCTCTCGCCCAGGCCGTCCCAGAGCCAGACCTGAGCCACCTGACCGAGGAGGAGCGCAAGATTATCCTGGCGGTTCTGGCCCGGCAGCGGGAGGAGGAGGCGAAGGAGGAGGCGATGCTAAAGTAAGGCTGGAACCAGGGGTGTGAGGGGGGTGAGTGTGAATGGGCCGCGGAGGAGGGTGCTTCTGAGGCGGACAGTGTGAGGGCCTAGAGGCGGGAGAGAGCTGGAGGTCCACGCTCAACCAATTCACTTTAGCTCAATTACTAAAGACAGGGAAGGGGAGAGTAGCCAAAAACCTGCTCTGGTAATATATGACTTCCCCAGAAGAAGTAAAAGTGTACAGACCTGAATCATTACTTAAGTAACAGTAAAAAGTATATGGTGAAGAAGCTACTCAAGTAACAGTTTAAGCTTCACGTCAGATTGAGGATTTAGAGCAAATGTGAAAGACAAAACATCACAACAGAACAACAATTCAACTCAAAGCGCTGCAAGAAACACAAACTCTCAGATCATTGCAGATTCTCACAGAAAGATTTTGTCACTTTAGACTCACTCACAGAGGACGTGGAAGCACAACTTTTACTCAAGTAAGAGTACTGTTACTTTAAAAACAATATAACTCCAGCAGAGGTATAAAAGTGGAATAATAAACTGAGCTTGGGCATTTTTCTTCAAACTGGTTAAGCATGTCCTAAAAATGTAAAAGTTAGTGTTGGTATCTCACTTTAAAACTTCACATCCAAAAGTTTTTGTTAGATTAAATACTCATGCTCATCTAATCGTTCAAGTACTGAATACTGAAGGTGAAGGGTTCATGTCAGTGTCTGTTTTATACTTTTCCATCAGCGTGATATTTTGTGTAAGAAAACGAACCTAAATCAAACTAAAGCCATTCACGATGACTAAAAATCAAAAGCGATGTACGTTTTGATGCCAAACTCATTTTCTTTAGTGTGCGTTCAGACTTGTCCAGGTTCCAGTCCAGTTTAGTGATGAAGACTTTGAGTTTGGTCAGGTCAGACGAAGAACAGAACTAAAATAAAAGTAAATCAGATTTTAAGAAGCTGCAAGAAACACAAACGTTCAGTTTATTTGATATCGTCGACATAAAGCTTATGTCACTTGAGACTGATGGTGCGTTCATGTCCTCCTCGGGGTCGGACTTGTTTGCGTTCATTTATTTTTATGTTGAAAAGTCTGGATTTTAGTGTCACCAATAATAAAATTCTCTCATGAACAGTGTTGAAAAGAGTTAACCAGTGAGAGTTGTCGCCGTTTGTGCGTTGTGTAACTTTTCTGGTGGATGGTCTGTCAAACTCTTGGAGATGTCCATGGAGATGTTATTGATTAGTCTGGAATGTTTCACAGTATGGCATTAAACCTTTCTATCTCCATGGAGACCAAAACAGACCAAGTTCCAGGTCATGTCTGTGGAGAGGCGACCCCACTCACAGTCAGAATGTTGTTTTTCCTGATTTAGTCCTGGGGTAGTCGTGGTGTAGTCCTGGTTTAGTCCTGGTGTAATTATGGTTTAGTCCTCGTGTAGTCGTGGTTTAGTCCTGGTTTAGTCCTCGTGTAGTCGTGATTTAGTCATGGTGTAGTCCTCATGTAGTCGTGGTTTAGTCCTGGTTTAGTCCTGGTGTAGTCCTGTTGTAGTCCTGGTGTAATCATGGCTTAGTCCTGGTTTAGTCCCCGTGTACCCGTGGTTTAGTCCTGGTTTAGTCCTAGTTTAGTCCTCGTGTAGTTGTGGTTTAGTCCTAGTTTAGTCCTCATGTAGTTGTGGTTTAGTCCTGGTGTAGTCCTGTTGTAATCCTGGTGTAATCATGGCTTAGTCCTGGTGTAGTCCTCATGTAGTCGTGGTTTAGTCCTGGTTTAGTCCTAGTTTAGTCCTCATGTAGTCGTGGTTTAGTCCTGGTGTAGTCCTGTTGTAGGCCTGGTGTAATCATGGCTTAGTCCTGGTTTAGTCCTCGTGTAGTCGTGGTTTAGTCCTGGTTTAGTCCTAGTTTAGTCCTCGTGTAGTTGTGGTTTAGTCCTAGTTTAGTCCTCGTGTAGTTGTGGTTTAGTCCTGGTTTAGTCCTCGTGTAGTCGTGGTTTAGTCGTGGTTTAGTCCTGGTTTAGTCCTAGTTTAGTCCTCGTGTAGTTGTGGTTTAGTCCTAGTTTAGTCCTCGTGTAGTTGTGGTTTAGTCCTGGTTTAGTCCTCGTGTAGTCGTGATTTAGTCGTGGTGTAGTCCTCATGTAGTCGTGGTTTAGTCCTGGTTTAGTCCTAGTTTAGTCCTCATGTAGTCGTGGTTTAGTCCTGGTTTAGTCTTCGTGTAGTCGTGGTTTAGTCCAGGCTCACAGTTTGTTTTTCTATGTATTTTTGAGCTATAAAACCATCTGTAGTTGAATAAATGTAAAGTAGAGCTGTTTAATGTCACACTGCGGAACATGCCAGGCAGAGCAGCGACGTATCTATAGACACAAGCAGGTGGTAGACCGGAAAAACAAAAAGTTACACAGGACACCTTTAATGTTACATCTGTCTATTAATGCGAGGAAGGTCTGTGTGTGTGTTTGTCTGTTCCACGTGTAACTCTTGAACCGCTCAGCCGACCAATCTCAAATTTGGAGAGTGTCATTCTAATAAGTTTCATGTTGTTAGGACAAAAGATATCAAAGATCTGGTCAAATGAGTGATATATTTAAAAATACTAGTCTGTATTATTGGAACAGTTGTACTACGGGGTGTTTCTTGTGGAGATCTGTCGCTGACTGACAGTACAGCCTTAAATGTGGTCAGTTTTAAGTCCAGGCTCACATGTGTTGGAGAAATAGACATGAGTTGATGAGTTCCTGAGGGGTGTTTCCCACTTCTGCTGTGTTCAAGCTTGTAAAAAAAAAAAAAATTCAATCTCCCGAGGACGATATCAACGTAGCGTTACTCACAGTGGGAGGAGGTCCTGGTTTGATCCTGGTTTAGTCTTAATATAGACTTGGTTTGGTCTGTTATAGTTGAGGTTTAGTCCTGGTGTAGTCCTGGTTTAATTCTGGTGTAGTCGTGGGTTATTTCTCGTTTAGTCCTGGTTTAATCCTGGTTTAGTCCTCGTTTAGTCCCTGTGTAGTTGTGGTTTAGTCCTGGTGTAGTCCTGGTTCAGTTCTGGTGTAGTCCTGGTGTAGTCCTGGTTCAGTTCTGGTTTAGTCCTGGTGTAGTCCTGGTTCAGTTCTGGTTTAGTCCTGGTGTAGTCCTGGTTCAGTTCTGGTGTAGTCCTGGTTTAGTCCTGGTGTAGTCCTGGTTCAGTTCTGGTTTAGTCCTGGTGTAGTCCTGGTTCAGTTCTGGTTTAGTCCTGGTTCAGTTCTGGTTTAGTCCTGGTGTAGTCCTGGTGTAGTCCTGGTGTAGTCCTGGTTTAATCCTGGTGTAGTCCTGGTTTAGTCCTGGTTTAGTCCTGGTCTAGTCCTGGTGTAGTCCTGGTTTAATCGTGGTTTAGTCCTGGTGTAGTTGTGGTTTAGTCCTGGTGTAGTCCTGGTTCAGTTCTGGTTTAGTGCTGGTTTAATCCTGGTTTAGTCCTGGTGTAGTCGTGGTTTAGTCCTGGTTTAGTCCTGGTGTAGTCCTCCTGGTTTAGTCCTGGTTTAGACCTCGTGTAGTCCTGGTGTAGTGTGTAGTCCTGGTTTAGTCCTGGTTTAGTCCTGGTGTAGTCCTGGTGTAGTCCTGGTTTAGTCCTGGTTTAGTCCAGTTTCATCAGTATGATATTTTGTGTAGAAAAGTAAAGAAAACAAAAGTAAATCAAAGTAAACTTTTCTTGAGTTAATAGAAGAGAGTGGACAGAAGGACGAGTGGGGACCAGATCCAAACTTCTGACAAATCACAGAGGCTCACAGCAGAAACAAATATATCATCCCTTTTGCTTTTACTAAGAGGCATCTGAAGTGTGAAGTAAGCAGCTACTGTTCTGAGCCTGATTTACACTGCAGAACTACACTCACAGCCAAACATTAACACGCCGATATTTTACTTCTTACTAACATATTTCAATCACCATGTTACCTTTGATCGTTTTGAAAATACTTTATTCGCTAAAAACAACGCGTTCTCTTCCCTTTGCTCTTCACGCTAAGTCTCTCCCCCTTCAAAACGCTGTCACAACTAGGGGTGTGCAAAAATATTGAAATATCGATATATCGTATCGTTTAATGTGATGATACAGTATCGTTATCATGGGCTGCTGTATTGATATATCCTGAGTAGAGTATTTTTTGGTATATTTTACTAAATTATTTTGTTACAACTACAGTTCTGTTGCTTGTTAAGAGGAAGGAAACTTATTTATGAGACACATTTAACATTTTCACTGTTCTGATGATTAAAATGGTGTGTTTTATATGAACTTTGCACAAGAAGTGATTTAACTAAGACTTTTAGTATCACAGCCATGAATTAGCTTTTATTTTTATTGAACCATATCAAATCGATTTGAAATATATTGAATATATTGAATTGTATCGAATCGTAAGCTCATTGTAACGAGATATGTATCGTATCGTGGTCTATATATTGAGGTATGTATCGTATCAGCAACTTCTGAATGATACCCAGCCCCAGTCACAACACAGTCAGCGTGCACCTCGCTAATGAATCTACTGCACATCACATTAAGTCTGCTGTAGTTGTACAAGTTGCTGTGTACAGTTTTGTAGATTTCTGGAGCTTGTACAGGGTGCAGGAGAAGATCACTAGATTATTCAAACTTGCATGGATGACATCCAAAGTCTTTGATGAGGGAACGTTAGAACATGGTAGAAAACTAAAAGAAAAAGATATGCACTATGTAAACTATTCAAATGTTCAGATCATTTAAATGTTTTTGTATTTTAGTATTTGTAATGCCCTTTGAGCTTAGCCTGATTCAACAGACGGTTTCACTTTGTAGAAACCGTCTGACCTCGCAGTGTTAGAATTCGTTCGCTCAACAGTAGGTGGGTACTTTTTATCATTTAGCCAATCACTGCTATTTGGTCGTGACGTATGTAATGCGCCGCTAACAGAGCTTTTCTCAAATCCTGTAGGAAGAAGGACAATAACGTCTTTCCTCTTGATAAAATTCACCAAACATTCTCTTTTTTCAGGCTTTAAATCCTTGATCTC